CCTCTCAAGATTCGTTGAAAAATTAAAACTAGTTTCGAACTTAATTAGTTTGTTCTTGGAGATCAGAGATCACTTTTATGACATGTTTTTATCCTGTGATGCTAATGACTATGTTTTGCGTAATTGGAGACCTGTTTATTTGGTCGCTGGTGAGGTAGATACCTTCTAATAATTAAATACGGCAAATTAAATATGTTGTCTGGTATCAAAAAATATATTTTGCTAAAGATCGATCGCGTAGCTATCATTTTCAGAACTAAAATTAAAATTACAGAAATAAAATTGCATTAATTCATGAATTATAAAAATGAAGTATAAATTATTACAAAATGTTGACACTATTTGCCAGATACGTAAGCAAACCGGGTCGTACATACCTTGCAGCTTCCGGACCGAAAACAAAATCCTGCGGTTTTTAGGGAGTGTGTCTTGTTTAGGAACAGAGTGTCGGTCGACAGCGTGTGGGGGTGGGGTGAGGGTGCGGGCGAAGGGTCGTGAGGTGCTGTGTGGAGGCGTGAGGAGGGGTTGGGCGAGCGAAGGCGAGTGGAGTTAGGGGGAATTAGGGGTGTACACTTTGTGATAATTTTAATGGAGATGACGAGAGTTCAGGGATTTGCTGGCTAAGGCAAGTCATGTTCTGTTTTTTGAGGTTGTTGTGTACATGTAGGGATTCTAATTTTCTTCTGTTCCAGTACCTGTTTTCAATTTCTAGAAAATTGGAAATTAATGTGTTTGTCGAATGCGTGTTCGTTTAAATTTAAGTGATCCGTGAAGTGTTAAATAGTGGTAGTTTTGTTTTTTCATGCATGTTTATGTTCTTTGATTCTCTGTGTGAATTTTCAGTCGGTTTGTCCTGAGCATATGACATTACAGTTGTTGCAAGTGAGAGTGTAGACCCCTTATAAGGAGGTGGGTGGCGTTGAGTCTTTAGTGTTGAATACTATTTTCTGTAAGTATGAGCGTAACTAAAAGTAGTTTTGGAACCAAATTTATTGAAAGTGGTGGCTTTCTAGGAGAAAGGGGTCCTGCTTAAGGAGATTATGAGGCATGTAGCTGTAGTGTTCTTGTCAATTGGTGTGCGAGTGGTGTGTTTGCAGATATTGAGTGTGTTGGTTTTTTATTATTAATTTGTCAATGATATTACAGTCGTATCTATTCATTCTGGCTCTATGTTTTATAGTTTTTATTTCTTTTTTTTTGTGTTTTATGAAGATATGGGTATTGAAATTAATCGATGCATCATAGCATGGAATGCTACGTGTTTGTGTGTGGGGGTGTTGTGAAGAGTTGTGTGTGATTGTGTTCGTGAGGGTTGGTTTTCTGAATATGTTGAGTTTATAATAGTCCTGTGTTAGCATGATGGTGAGATCAAGTAAGTTTACAAATTTGTGTTCGTTTTCTATTTCAGTGGTGAATTTCATGTTGGGGTGAAGGGAGCTGATGTATTGTGGAAAATATCAAGTTGTCTGGTGGTGCCTGTCCATAGTGCCAACACGTCGTCTGGGCCAGTGAAGGAAATTTTTTAGAAGTGAATATCTCGAAGCAAAGTATTTTCCCAGTTGTCTATAAATGTACCAGCTAATAAAGGTGAGAGGGGTGAACACATGGGTAGTCCAAAAACTTGGGTGTAAAATGTGTCATTGAATTTAAAATAGTTGGCATCTATGCAACAGGATATTAGATTGTACAGTTCAATTTTGATGGGGACGATACACTGTGATCTGTCAATTTGGACTTCAAGAATATTCTTGCAGTTTGTAAGCAATTTTGTGTGGGAGTGTATTAGTGTATGTTACTATAGATCAATGGATAGTAAATTTGTGTTTTAGAGGCAGTAAAATTCTCATTAGAATGTGTATAATATTTCATATTTGTTTTTTTCATTGGAGCTTTGGTTTCAGTTTACAAATTAATCTTTTCGAAAATGTTTTAAACGTATTGAAATAAATTTGAAATAAAGAATGACAGCCTTCTGTCGCCCGCTCTCAATTTACGCAGTTGGATGCTACGTAAGTAGTATTTCATTTTATTAATAATTATAGTTATATTGTACTTATGTTTCATGTATTATATTTTATTTTAAATAGCGTTCTTTAATTGTGTTAACCCTTAGCTGCCGACGTGGGATTTCAGTCACACTAGTACCAATGTGGACTCCCTTGGACTCAAAAAAATTGTTTCAAATAATATAGTTTTCATTTGTATTTCGAGAAAAGAACATTGAAATTTTCGATGAGTGATGACTACAAGAAAGTATTAAACAGGATATAGTTAATAAAATACCTAATAAGGGAATATCACGTGATTAGTAATGCGTGAGTACAATTACGCAGATTTTAAATTTAACGAATTTATCTTCATAATAAAAAACTTTGAAGATTAAAAAATAGATAAATTAAAACTACTATAAATTTAGAACTTAAAATTAATCAAACAAAAATGTTACTACCATAAACCTAAAATTTTGAAACTTTTCTTTAGGCATATTTTCACAAATCTTGCACACTTTTGTTTGTCCCTTTCGTAATAATATTTTCATTCTGAGTTTTTCGTCGTCGGGTTGTTCGTTCTCATGAAATTTCCCTTCATTATCGGTTTCCCTCCCAGATTGTAAACAAGATTGTCCGCTTGATGAGTCACGGTCACTTTCAAATTGATGATCCGAAAATACTCTCCCAATAAGTCCATTTGCCCCGCCCGTTGCGCAATAATTTCTTCAAAATCATGATAATTAATTAATATTCACACACTCTTAACGGTCAGTACATGTTTTTCTGTACATTGTGCTGTCATTAGAAGCGCCACAGAAGAAACCACTACCTGGCAAGGTGCGACGCGCACATAGTGAAAGGTACACTGCTACTGACGTGGAGTCCCTAGGTCTTCCGCGCCAGCAAAGGCTGATAATTTCCTTGAAAAGTATTCTACAACAGAAAACTCGCGAATCATTACTTAAATCAGCAGAAGGAAAAGGTACAAGAAAAATACAGGTTTTAAAAAATCCTCAATGCAGGTATTCGAATTTTCGCGAAGTCGGAGGAGTCTCAGGGACTCCCAGTCGGTCAGAGAGTATATATCAGTCGGTATTATACCCTGTAAGGTTCGCCTGTGTACTTTTTATATCCAATCGTCTTTAAGCAGAGGGTTAAATGTGAAAACGAATAGAATTGGTGTCATTGTGTTTGGTACTCATTGTTGTAACACCGCACAAATAACAGGATAATGACGCCTGCTTTTCATTCGTGGAAATAAAAACAATACTTTTAATTAGTAGTAAAATATTACAATACCATAGTGGTTAGTAATTACTATTATATATATATATATATATATATATATATATATATATATATATATATATATATATACTCCGATACATTTGTTTCCCGACGCTATCAGTATCGCTTTATTTATTAACTTTTAAATGTTTTACTTTTTTGCATTATGCATATTTTTCGAACTAAATTTCTACGATTCCAAATGAGTTTTGCAAACAATAATACGGAGAGATATTGTGGTAAAAATGTTACTACCTAACCATTACCATTACCACGGCAAGAAAGTACGAGCTGTTTTAGCACCACTAGTTTTTACATTTTGACAGAGAAAATTGCAAAAGAAAACTAAAAATTTTGCCTTTTTTAGTTTTTTTGCTTATTAGTACTGTATAAAAGGGGCCTGCTGGACAAGATTTTTGACACTCAACTTTTAAATTTTAAACGTTTTTCCAATTTGAATTAAAATCGTATTCAAATCCTTTAAATTATTAATATTTTTATATTTTTATCCCAAAATATTCCTAATTTTTGCAATTTTACGCGTTTAGGTCATTTTTTAACTCTCTGCTACATATTTCAGAACACTTGATACCAAATTTCATTTCATACAGTATTTTTAACATATTATACATTACTCTAACGAAATATAATTTTAAGATATATTCAACGAATTGAACGTTAGGTCACGTTATCTCAATTTAAATCGATAGACCATATTTTAGTAAATTTTACCATTTCACACGTCATTTAATATATCATTTCACACATTCAATCATGTAAGAAGCTTAACTCAATATTATATTTGGCCATAAATCCTTTATCCACTAAATTCAAACTTTTAGTCTTTAAAATATTTTAATATTGTTTTGTTTTAAACAATTAGCATAACTATTTGGTAAAATTACACTAAATATTTGATCTTGTTTATGAGTTTTTAGATCCAATGCTACTTTATTATTTCCATATTTTGTATTTGCGTAGATTATATCAGTAATAGTTATTCCGGATCTTCCATTAATTCCGTTATTTTTTTATGAAATTTAATATGATATGTAGCTTGGTTCAGTTTTGTTACAAACGTCCATTTAGAAAGAAATTATGAATTATTCCTTAAGAATGGACGTTGTATCAAGACTGAACCATGTTATGTTAAAATTCTTAAAAAATAACTGAATTAATGAAAGATCGTGAATACACAATTGGTGTTATAAGAAACGTGAAATTATTGAATAAAAATTTTATTGAATTAAAATATTATTGAATTAACATCTTTTCTAGGAATTATTGAATTAACATTTTCTCTAGAGATATTATTGAATTAAACCCGGGTCTAGTAAGTATTGAATGAAAATCTGTCCTAGACATATTATTGAATTATTAAATTAAAATCTTATTTAATTAAAATATTGTTGAATTTAAATATTATAAATGTGGTTTAACCTTTTATAGTTCTCAATGGGTATTGTTTATATGGTAGAAGCACCTAGTGAATTAACGATACATGAGTTAGCAAACTATGCATGTAATTCAAAACACTAGTGACCCATTAGATTTATTAAATTAACGGTGATGTGGTGTGCATGATGATTATTTTCAAACGTCTTCACAAAAATGAAATAAAAATATAATAAAATGGTATTATAGTAAATTAAATTACTATAAAAAGTAATAGTAGATTTAACCGAAACACTATTTGAAATATGGTCACTTCATACTAATTTAAGACTATGAAACAGACATTTTAAAGCCTGACATAATTATATTGAATAAACGGGGTGAACATAAATCTCAAAGTCATCAACATGTGTTCCAACAAATTTGATGAAAAAGGTGGTAAGCACATGCAAAAATTCATGATGCAAATAATTTCCATTAGAAATCAATATTATTTTGGATGAAGATTGGTATAATAATAAAGATGCAAATACACCACAAGATCAAACTATTTCTTTTCTGTTTTACATCATGAAATTGGATATGCATTACACAATGCAAATAATAGAAATGCGATAATGTGTGCTAATTATCTCGGATTATTAGATATACATTCAGACAATATTTTACCTATTCAAGAGAGAGCAGTCAAGAGAAATATTGTATTAAAAAAAGATACACAATTTCTTGTAGCCATTTTATTTACTCATATTCCAAAACTTCATTATCACTATATTGTTTGATATATACAGGAAAAAGCTAAGTGCATATTTTATGTAAATACTATATCTTCTTGTTTTTTACTGTTAACAATAAAATAATAAATTACAACAGTATCGATAAGGGTTAAGTTTTGCAACAAATATTACTACACAACCAAACTTGATGCAAAAGTACACTTGTATAACTTAATATTTTGCAATAAAAATACCACTAAAAAAATATCACAGCCATATTTAGTTTTGACACTTCTACTATTTTATATTATAGTATAGTATCTTTATAAAAATATGTATTACCTGGTTTCACAAGTACAACAAAGAGTATGGAATTTTATGCAGAATATATCTGTACATTATGGATAAATTAAAGTTAACATGTATCATTACAACTCTTACACAGAAAAATATACAAGATTAACTGGTTGTGAACAGAACATAATCAGCACTTGTTCATATATACAACTATTTTGACTAACCGCTCTGAATTCTTTTATTTCTATTTCTATTAGGAGAAATACACCACAAATATACTACATTTTACTGTTGCACACCAAATGTTCTCTGGATTATACACTGCCATTTTCATCCACTGGTCTCTCTGAAACAAACATGACATTTTATAACTTTTCTTGTTGTAATGTACAAATAAAATTGAATTGACTAGTGACATTGTTAATTTACCATTGAAGATATCCTCTAACGTTGCCCCCTCTTGGAAGAGTGCACTGAGTTTTGGGTCAATGCCACAGAGTGTGAAACGAGATGATCGGTTCCAATTCCAGAACAGAAGTTTCTGTTCTCTTATTTTGAGATCTCCCCAAAGAGAGTGTAAATTCTGCAATGTTAGATTCAATATTCAATATGCTTCTGAATAAAAAGGTAGTAATATTTGTATTAGTATTTACAGCATATATAAAGAAAGCTTTAATGAGCTTCTTGAACTCTCCAAATTATGTCAAATATTTGAGAAATCTTTTTTAATGTGTTTTTTATCAAATTTGTATCTTATTAAGAAAATTGTTATGTTTTCATTAGTACAACTTTTTAAAGTATATTAAATATGCTTTGATCTCCCATCACTATTAAACTTTGTAATTTGTAAGATTTTACTAAATGATACATTTTTTACTTTTGTAATAGTGAATAGGCAGTTGTATGAAATATCACACCTTAGCAACAGTGGCATCTATGTGCCTCATGTAACGTCCATCAAGTATAACAATTGCTTTGTTATCGAGCTCAATGCATTTCTTGATAATTTTCTTACGAACAAACTCAGCTGCAGGAAACACAATACTGTAATCTGGAGCAACCAGGAGAACATCATGACTGTGCACCTGTGAATACAAAACTGTATCAATGTCAATACACATAATAAACAAATGTAGACTTTATTGATTATTTTACTTTGAATATGAAATGGTTCAGGATGGCCTGTAATCAAGCATTTTAGAATTCAAGTTTGTTTGTTTTTTCTGTTTTTATTTCACACATTATACACATTTCATTGAATTTTTTACTAAATCGTATGTTACTCAGAGTGTCTTTGCTAACCGAGTACTTATTCGAGGGTAGTATACTAAATAACTTTAAAAAATCTCAACGCTTTTGCCTAGATAGAAAAAGCTATTTGTGTACTAATGCATATTCAAACTCCATTTTAAACTTTTATGACAGTATTTCAAACGAGATAAATTGATATGGATAATGATGTCAGTGCACACTTTTGAGGTCCTTTTCACTAGGTTTTCTAAATATGTCTGTTCATCACAAATTCAACTTCTGCAAAAATTTGATTTTATATTTCCAAAAACTGCTGTTATTGTATTTGTCTATCCATGCTTTATATGAACTGAGTACTAGTTATCCAGGAGGGTGTAATATTAGAGCCATTTTAATTACATTTGAGTTTTCAAGAGAGCTTATCAGAAATGTTCATTTTTTTTAAAAACATAAGACTTGCATTGTTTTTACATTATTAATATAGTATCTAATGCTTTAATTAATTTGATATTCTCTTGAGTAGTCATCTTCAGAAGATTCTTGATGTATTCACTGATTTGACAAATAGCTTACCCTCCTATTGGTGAGTTATTATTCAAGTTTTGAAAATTGCTGAGTGCCGTATTCCTGTTTCTCATTTTCAAGTTCAAATATATCTCAATAGATAGCTCAAGTGTTAACTTCAGTTCACGTTGCCATATGAAAAGTGTCAACTACCACAGTCACTAGTGTTGGCGGTTCTTATTTCAATGTGGTCGGAGTGTGGATCAAGTTATACTATTAGTGCCAAAGTTTATATGTATAATCAAAAGGAAGTTGAAAACCAAATGTATAGTAGAAGAGAGAACAGTGTCAAAGGAGATGAAAAGATCATTTACAGAGAATGAACAACAACAGATTTCCAAAATTAATCAGGGACCGTTAGGATTCAGAGATAGAGGCAGACCACTAAAACGATGGCAACAGCCGGAAGACGTGGAAGACTAATAATCTACCAAAAATTCTGTAATAAACCAACAGAAATGGGTTGTAAAGCCTAATTTCTATTGAGTTCATAATGATAATGTATAAAAGTCTGTTTTGAGTGAAAAAATATATCCTCTCTCTCAGAAGTTATATTCAATAATCTTACTCATTCTGAAATGCTTTATTGTCAGCAATTGATCTGTTTTAACTTTTGTGTTACCTGGGTACTCAGATTTCATATATGTGTTTATGATATGAAGATATTGTCAGAAGAAGTGGTGATAAAATAGCCACATGTATTTTATAGATTCTGAATCTTAGTGCTGCAGAAAAGACGAAACTACATTTGTTTAGTGATAAATGTGTAGGACAAAATGAAAACAGAGTAATCATATTTTGAACCTATATCTAATTTTCCTCATGTTTGATATCATTCAGCACAATATTCTTGCTAGCAGGTAATAGCTATTTACAGTGTGATAGAGATTTCACCCTTGTTAAGAAATATAAATGAGTAATGAAGTCATTTATTTCTGCAAATCTCAAAAATGTGATTAAAAAAAAAAAAAAAAAAAAGAGAGAGAGAGAGAGAGAGAGTTTAAAGTTGTACCCTTGAAGGCAAACAATTTCTTTGAGTTGCAATCAATTCCAGACATTTTTAATTTCAATTACCAAAATGAACATTATCTAAGCCTCCAGCTTTTGAGAAAATGTGAGATACCCTGGAAATGTTTGGAGGAAAATAACTTACAGTATTATGGATGTTTGGAAATAATTCTTTATTTTGAAAAAAAGGAAAGATGATTGAGAGATGTACAGGAAGGTAAAATTTGTGTCATGAAAGGCAAGAACAGTATCACTGTTAAAAAGAGGAAAGATCAAGATCTCTTGTCAACGTTGGAGTATCTTCCTGAAGAAGGAAAGACATTCTACATTGAACTCTGCAGACATTTCACTGCTAAAAAACTAAAATATGTCCAAGTTTTATACTGGTTAAGTTTACTGCGAGTTTGGATGTGGTAAAGACATTACTATTTGGTCACTCTGTATACTATTATTCAGTGAATTCTGGTGGAAGATAAACAGTTTTACTTACAAGAGAAATAAGAAAACTGTGTATAGAAAAAAAATTGTAAACAACAGATTGGCACATTTTTTTTTACTAAATCTCAGACAAATTGTAAAGCACTTAGGGAAAACATGAAACAATATTGTAACTTTATTAATTAATTATTAATGTTAAGCATAATTCATTCTAAGAAACTATTATCCGTTCACCTTATGAAAAAACCTGATGAAACAAAAACAAACTGATGAAACACTATGAAGGTATTCATTTGATTCGATTCTGGCCTTTTGGAATCGATTCCATCAAGCATCAAATAAATAAATTGTTTGAAAAATGTTTTTGTCATATCCCTGACATAACACCTTTTAGAGGATATCATGATATGAGTTTACCATCTTACTCAGTCTCAGATTTGAATATTGATTTATATGCTTTTCAGCACAATGATACTTGCATGCCCTTAATATGATAAATAGCCTGGTAAGAATACTTCAGTTTGACATAACTGATTGCATAAGAATCAAAGAAAACGCTTAATACATTTAAAAAAATTGTTTATATCTAAAAAGTAATATTTAGCTACTTCACACCTTTGAGAATTCCAGTCCTCGAAGGTTTAAACAATCTTCTTTTTCAAAAATTGCTCCAAATTTACTTTTATTTTCCCATGAAAAATATTTGTGCTATTCTTATTTTAACTAAGGCACCTGAGATATGTTACAAATAATTTTAAAAAAGTTTTTTGATTAATCCAATTATATTAATTTAAATCCAATATCTAATTGATAATAAAATCCTGAGAGATATATTTAACTTCTTATAGGTCTTCATGTTCTCTATGAATTTTCACTTCCTCTCCCTCTCCCTGTCCCCTTCTCTCTCTTTCTTTCTCCTTTTTTCTCTCTCTTTCTCTTTTCTCTCTCTCCCCTTTCTCTCTAACACTTTTCAGACTGCTTCTCTGGGTAGTTCTTGATCCCAGCCAACTGGCAGTTTTTGACTATTTTTGTATTTTAGCTAAAAATGGAACCCGAATGGAAAAATTCCGAAGGAGCCTAGCATGACATGCTTGTCTGAGCAGTGCTTGGACATATTCAGGAAAGTGTTGAAAATATACTCAACTTATTAATTTTTAAAAAGAATAGATAATATTACTTACTTTTGAACATTGAATGCTAACACGGGGTCTTGCTGCATCATATAAGACAAACAAGAGATTCACAGCAATTCCAGAGATGATTCCAAACTCCAGGCCCACAAATAAGCACACAGCCACAGTGACAAAGAATGGAATAAGATCAGCCTCTACAAAATAAAGCGCATAACAAATAAGATATGCTGCACTATTTCTACAGTTGAAAAAAATGTTTAAAATAGTGCTTACTTCGTGATTTCCAGAGCAATGGAACCATTTCATATTCTACCATAAAAAACATAGCTGCTATGATTATTCCTGCTAAGGTAGCTTTTGGAATATACTGAAATGTTGATGTCAGAAGCCCAAGAGTTAAAAGAACAAGTGCTCCTAAAAAACAAAATAAGACATCTCATTACAATACCTTCAATTGTGTGTGTTGTGAGCAATGGAGCATCCAACAATGGGGGGAGGGGATGAGGGCACTCAATGGGCCTCAGCCCCCAGAAGCCAATTAATTCAAAAATCTCGGTTTTACTCATTTATAGAGTTAAAAATTAAAAATAAATTTTATAACCAGCATAACTGAAATATTCTTTATAAGAAAACTCAAGTTGACTGGACAATATATTTGTACCTACACTCTATACTTCCACCAACCACCAAAACAAATTCTGGGTGCACCTTACATTATGTGCCTAGCTTGTTACTGACATAATTCTTTCAAACACATTTTTTAATATTACAAAGACAAAGAAAACCTTTTACCTGTAACAGCACCACCCAATGGTGTTACTACTCCAGATGCATTGTTTACCGCTGTGCGAGTGAAGGAACCAGTGGTTGGCATGGATCGTACGAATGATCCTAGAATATTGCACATTCCTAGAGCTATCATTTCTTGAGTGGCATCTAATGCTTTTCCCTTGGCTGAGATGAAGCATTATTATTAATTATTTATCACTAGTCCTTAACTATTAGATATTTATCATTTATTATTATTATTATTATTATTATTATTATTATTATTATTATTATTGCAAAGAACTAAAAATGGTTAAAGGTAAAACAAAAATTCAGAAATTATACTAATTTCTATAGAGAACAATCTAGTTCATCTGATGGAGGGTGCAAATTGTAAGGGAGCCAGGAATCATCCCTCTCTAGAGAATTTTACACACTAGAGAGACACATTCAAACACATTAATTTCTTCTTCTCAGATCCAAATTAGTTGCCTCATGTATGATTTTCACACTTTGAAATGTTTAAATGAAGTGATGGAAATTGGAGAAGAAAATAAATTCCTTGGAACATTTATAGGATTCAGATAGTGTTTTTTAAGCTCAGATGGTCTTCAGTTCACTCATCAATATTTTATTTGACTTCCTTTTGAAAACAAATTGCCAATTCGCACCCTGAACTGATGCCTTTTCTTCATCGTAAGAAATAGCTGGTAATTACTAATACTTACAGAAGGCCTTTGCAATAGCAATACTTTCAAGAACTGAAATTAAAGGAATTGTAATTGATGAAGCTCCAAGTTCCCCAAGCATTCCACCAAAGGTAACTGTTGTTCCATTACTTTCTGTTGAGAATGGGGGAACTTTAAAAGGAGGAAGTCCTTCTGCAATGGGTCCTGTGAAACAAGAAAATAATGTTTATTCCTGAACATATGAAAAGAAGTTCAGTACATGAAGAGTATGAATTGATATTTAATTATTTTAAGGGAAAGAAAAGAAACAAACAAAGCAAAGTCAATAAAGAAACATGTCAATGTGCATGCCCTGCTCATATTAGTAAATAGAATCAGATACATTCCAAACTTACCAGTTATAACAAATGGGCTTTCACCTTTTGTGTAAAAATAGTATGCTAAAGCAGTTCCCAGAATTGCAACAATTGCATTACGACCTAGAGAAATAAGCCATATTATTTTATTATAAATTTTTTGTAGAGTACTCAAATTCTCTCTCTTGAGCTGGGCATTATTGAGGTACTGCAATATCAAGAAAATTACAATTAGTAGGAGTAATTCAATTTATTTCTATTATTCAAAAGTGAATAGACGAAGAATAATAGTAGTTGATAGAATATGTAATATTGATAAAAAAGGATACAATGTTAAACTTTTATTATTTTTTTTCTGCTTGATATATTATATGAGTGAAGAAATCTAAAAGGCTACTCAGGAATTCTGTGGTGAATATTTGTTGCATCTTGTAAATATTTTTTGAAGCAAGTTCCATTAAAATGATATTAAAAAAGATTAAATCAGCCCAAAAGCATTAAAAATGGTGTGAAAAAGTAAAAAATTCTTATTAGTCGAAAACGACAAAAAAATGCAAAAAAAGACATAGAAAATGGATCATTTCATTTTGTTATAACATAAAATTAATTTCTTTACTAAACAGCATTGTTCTAAAGTGAAAAGAAAAAAAACAGACATTTCATTAAAATCTGCCCCCTACTAATGAAAAATAGGTTATGACCAGCAGACTCACCTTTCCTAGTAACAGTAGTATAATAGTGCTAACACCAAGCACAGTATCCCATAACTTGGTTTCTGATATATGATCAATTACAGTTATCCAAGATTCTAAAAATTCATTAGATTTGCCTGGAATGCCGAGAAGTGATTTCAATTGAGAAGAGGCAATGGTTATTGCAGCAGCAGTAGTGAAACCAGTCGTCACAGGCATTGAAATAAATGTCACCAAAAATCCTGTAAAATTTCATTAATTCAACAAGATACTCTGAAATAAATAAACTTTGAAATTTTGAAAATATCATTTTTAAATTGGAAAAGCCATACCACTTTATGAACATGTGCAGCTATTACGGGGAAGTAGGTGAAGTGACACTTTGCCAATTATTTATAATAGATTTATATTGTAAATTTATTTTTCTTATCATGTGCCACTAGGAGAGGCGGGTTAACAACTTTGTCCTCGGAAGGCATGCGAAACATTGCCGCCTATTTTTTCAAATAACCCAAGAAAGAAGTTATATTAATAACAAGTATAATTTATGTTTTAGAATTGGGCACATGTATTTATGATTAAAACTGATTTAAATAATAATTTATCTGTGATTAATTTTTTTAATTGTTTAAATCTTATTTTTATATATATAAATAACAAAATTTATAATGTTCTTTTCATAGTTAAGCATATTTATTATTCTAGTTCCATATTCTTTTACATGGCATTGAAACATGGACACTGAAAACAGCATTAATTAATAAATTGGAGACATTCAACATGTTGGGATGATGAAGAGAATGTTGAGAACTCCCAGAACTGACAAAGTGTGTAATGAGTATATACTACAAAGAAACAATGTATGCGAGAGATATTAAAAATGATTAAAATTACGAAAAACACTGTATCTTGATCATTTACTTAGAAACCCGAAATATGAACTCTTGCAACTGATAATGATGGGAAAATTTCAGGGTAGACAGGAGAGTTGGCACGAAGATGTCTTGGCTAGCAAACATTTGCAAATGAACTGGAATTTCGAGTGCATCTGAGTTGTTTCATCTGGCGCAAAACAGAACAGTTTGGGGAAGTGGTCGCCAACCTGCAGTAAAAGAGACGCACTTGGAGAAGATTATTCTACCATTGTTCTACCATGGAGTAATGATTATACTTCTCAGTCTATGGTTCTACCTTTTTTTTAAAATTACGTCATGTCTACATTTAACACTAGAAAATATGAACGAAATAAGACATATTTAAACAGATTATTAAAATTGCTTGCATTGAAATGCGTATAATTTCTAAAATTCATAATCTGAATAATTTAATCATATAATAAATTTAAAAAAAAAAAAGTAGTCAGAAATTTAGTTGCCTTCTGTACCTATGCGTAAATCTGCCTCTGACCACAAGTATGCTGGTTTTAAGATTTCTTTTAGTGTATTTTGATTTTACAAAAAATAGTAAGTGTATTTTTGAATAGCACGCGCGCGAAACTCTGTAGAACAATTAAAACTCGTGAAAGCGCCGGTTGAGTGCGCCACCGACCATGCCATTCATAGATGTCCAGAACAATTCCTTGTCAGCTATTATTATCTTTCACAAACTTCATTCTATCGTTTGAATTCCTACTATATTTCTTCCCGTTTATTACTATGTCTCAATTAATCGACCTTTACGACCACTTTCCCCAATCTCCTTTTCTCATTCACTATCTTACTTTTTATTTTCTCGCTACAGCTTACTTAGTAGAAAGAAAGTTATGTAATGCTGCGGGGAAAAAAAACGGCGTTAAAAAAATTCGTTAGAAAGCTCTTATTACAGTGCCCTGGTAACGAAAAGTGGATTCATGCAGTTGCTAAATTTAGAATCTAACACATGATGTACCCAGAATCCATATTTTGTGGATCCTTGATACCGAAAGATTGAATGATGGCAAAATATCTGTCAGTCTGTCCGTCTATGATCAACGCTAGCGGCTAAACCAGCCGATTTTCTCTACGACAATTTCTGTCTTACACTTAAATTACCATTTGAAAAATTCTTAAACAAACTAAGAGTGAAAAATGCATATATTTTATTTCAAATGCAAACTTTTTAAACGAAAAAAGCTTTCTATCATTGAATTCAGTGTATTTGCGTTCTACATAAGTGCAATGGTGGCCAGTGGCATAGCGTCAATGAATGCGACTGATGCGTCGCATCCCTTCGTCATTATGATTTCTAATCTTTATAGAATGTGTCTCGTCTTCTCTATGCAAAAATATATTGCCCTTTCTTTGGATGCTTCAAACCACTGTATGGATTGCAGTATTTGGTTTTGTAACACTGGTTTCGCACAAGAGAGTCTCATTCGTTCCCTATGTTCGATTTTGCTACAAGACCAATGACCTTGCATATTGCGGATATGGGCTGATCACGTGAATGATGTGATTCTACAAAAGCATCTGGTATACAAAGCCTCAGCTCCAATAATTTTCTACATTGGTCACCAGGCGCGGACGCATATGGAGTTGGCGCAAGAGGTTCAAATACAGATCACCAGGGGGAGTTGCTTATATAGCAGTTAAACATCTTAAGTATAACTAAACTGTTTGTCCAAGCTTCTAGACAATATTGTTAAGTTCTAATTTTCGAGACTTTGGGTCAATAGTGTCTTTTATGACACAGCAAAGCAAACTTTTCACCATATCTTTATACCGTTTGTAGCAATGAACAAAAATTGCATATGTTCCTTTTGGTGCTACAAAGGTGTACGATGTAAACAATAACTTAAGATCTACCACAACTCTAAAAACATCAAAAGAGCGTATTAAAGTAATACAGTTTAATATTTCTATTAATTTTATGCGGGGAACAAAGAGTGGGCTACAGTTTGACTCCGTACGGTCTAGGGCGTCTCATCAGCAATCTCTTTTTTTCATTTTTTAAAATCTTTTGCTGTGTCCAAATACTATAGCGTTTTGAGTTTCTGATGCATGGCCATTAATAATATAATACATTTAGTTACTATTCGCTATATTTTTGTTAATTTTGGATATCGATAAGTCGTCTGAGCACCAGGTTTCTGTAAGCAGTGAAGGCGACCAGTGATCTATTAACAAACTGCTACTTTTTACCGCATCCCTTACCCAACCTTTCAAATGACGGCACTGGTCGTATTTGTGATTTTTCCTTCATGATCACCAAATCCTATCACCTCATCATCTCATATTATTTCAGTAGTATAGATACCTTTTGCGGCTCTCAATGTTTATGATGAGGTCTCTAAAGAAAAAAAGTATCAGGAGACGTGACAGTTGCAATCTTCTGACTTGCGAACCAAGAGAAGTTCAAATTTTGTAACGGTTGCAAGTGGATACGTACAAAAAAAATGATAAAGCAACTTAATTCGTAATTGAATGCTATACAAATCAGTGGTACTCTCTCTCTCTCTCTCTCTCTCTCTCTCTCATTTAACAATAATAATGATATAAATTATGGCAATGGATTTGTGTTGCTTAACCTGATCTTTTACCATTCACAAAAAATAACTTCACCGTTAGGTCTCAAAGTCAATAACCATACTCCATCGGATGCAGCGCCTATCTACAAAAGCCGACAGATGCGAAAGGACCGCAGCGCTGTCACGGAACCAAAACGTGCGGAAGCGTGTCCAATGGACCACTGGGCATGCCAGTACCAGTATTATTAAAGAACAGTAAAAGCTCGTACGAAGCAGCAACTTTTTCTTTGAAAAAATTGGAGCTGATATAAAAAAAATGTCGTTTAAGCGCTACTGTAAATGCGAATTTGAACCTCTTTTCACAGAAAACAATTGTTTCCGAAAAACTTCATATAGTCATTTCAAGAACTTCCAGTCACAAATGCAATAGCGTTTACAAATCGCCGGAAATGTGAATGTTAAAGACATGAAATATAAAAAAAATACATTGAGTAAATTTAGAAAAAAATTACAGCAAAACTAATTCTATGTCGTCTTAAAGAGTGCAGTTACCACTACACGTTCGAAAAAAATTTGGTTTCCTAATAATAGATCGGAAATATTACTTTAAGGATATTAAAAAAAAACTCGTCATATTTGACAATTTTCTTTGAAATATTTGGAGCCGTTTTTAAGATTCTGGCTTCTAAGCCCTACTCTGAATTCGAATTTTGAAGCTATTTTTCACCGAAAAGTTTTGAGTTTGGGAAAAAATTCAATTGAAGTCATTTAAAGCATTATAACTCATATAAATAATGTTTACAAATCGCTGGAAATATGCATATTAACGGTGAGAGGGAACTTCCAATTAAATTACATTTGTCTTATTTTCGAGAAATCAAAAAAATACTTAAAAAAACCAACATCTTTACGTCATACTAAAGAGCAGAATATGCACTATCCATTCGACAAGTTTGAAGAAACATTTTTGTACTCCGTTTTTGAGAAATTGGCGTTTTAACTTTTCGGAAAATGCTGAAATTTGAGCTAGTGATCACAGAAAATGTTGAGTTTTGGGGAAATTATTTTAAGCACATGTGCTCATAAATATAGTAATGTGAATTGCCGGTAATATAAATATTAATGTGAGAGACAAATCAAAAACATTAATTTTTTGTAATTTTTTTAAAAAACAAAAAGATGTGGCGTTTATGTCATCTTAAAAGTTTAAAGAACAAAATTGGAGGCGCTTGTGAGACAATCTTTTTGTCATTTTTTATTGCAAATATTGCACGCAATATTGCGCGAAAAACTACTAATTATGTTAAAAAAATGTACATGACTTTAATGAAAGAACTCACAATGAACAATAGTGTATGAGAAGAAACATCAATCTTCCATTCTGTAGATCTAGGAAGTCGCGGAAAAAATTCAAACGTTCAAAAAATTCAAAGAAAAAATGACAGACATTTTTCGGTATCAGGGAACTCCAAAACGTGTATTTTGGTTGAAATCTCGAAATCGATTTTCCTCAGCATTACATAACTTTTCGTATATTACGCATATTACTCTGTATATACGCACGTATACGGGAAAGTAAAATGGCATCAATACATTAACTAGTGGGGCTACAGAAAGGCACATAAATTCCCGAATAAGTTTTCTATTTCCTTTGGTCTCTGCTTACTATACGAACTGGACACATATTCTTGCCAGCTGCCATCTATCGCCGCCAAAGTAAATTTTTTTGATGTTTTCTTAATTATTCGGTTTTCTAATAGTATATATTACTTTATATAATAGGAAATATTATTTTAA